CGCTTCTTTCTCTGTTGACTCTTCGCTTACTGCAAATTCGACCAAAGCAAACCGAACCTCTGAAACAGGATGGCCTATACCGTTTTAAGTTGACATATGCGGTTCCGCATTCTAGCCACAACATTGGAAGCATACATCTTCGCAACCCTCTGTCTCCCCGCTTGATGTGCTGCGTACCAAGTTGTTCAGGCATTTAATCTCCCATGGCCGAAATGCCGACAAATGGCGTGACCTGGAAAGCTAGAACAAATGAAATATGGCTCCTAAAGAAGCCAACATGGAAAGTGAGAAATAATTATGATCGAACGCTTTGAAAATTTACGTTGCTTCACTGTTTTATTCATGAATCCTTATCCTTTATATTGTGTTGTACCAGTATGATTAACTGAAGATAAGTTAGTTGAGTTCTAGAAAACCGGGATATGGTAACAACAACTAGCAGTCGTCCAGGGAGTGCATAAGTTCGTCGTCGAATCAATACATTCACCCGAGTTGCAACGGTACTCGTGGGGTTGACATTGTGTTTCTGTAGAGGGTGAGAGTGAGAGCATAAATTGAGGTTACTTGATCATTTTCGTCGAATAAAAGATGTTCCAACTGATGGAAGGATTTTTGGTGACTGATGAAGAGCACTAGACCGCTATTTGGTCCTGTTTAGGACTGGTTAACAGCGCATACTTTTTAATGTCCCTGTCAGGAATGCATTTACCTAATGGGGACTTAAAGTTCTCCTAAAGAGTGGAGCCACACTCACACACTACCGCCAGTATCTTGTCCCCGTGAAAATTGAATGGATTATTCCAAATTTACTACTTTTAATGTTTAAACTAATCTTAAAAGGGGATTCGAATGCACCCTCCGGGTCAGTAATTCGGTGACCGCTGGGCCACCACCGTCCTCATTCTTTCACACACTCAAAATATGACTTAATCACTTTGGTTTCACGTACAACGAAAAAGGCTAAAAATAATAATCACTGTATGTGACTCCTTTTATTGTCTTCCAATACACAGAATTCGGGCATTGATATGATTGAAAATCCCCGGCCATCAAATGACACTGCGGATAAAACTCCAAGAGCAACAGTCAGTTTAGTGACTTTTACTTCTGCCACACATTTACGGGGATTTTGGTTTCATAGATTTTCATCGCTGAATACTTCTAATGACTCCTACTGAGAACTATACGGACATGTGAAACTCCGAAGGTATCACGCCATTGCATCGCTGAATTGCGAGATTTAGTGACCCTTGAGCCTGTTGTAAAAGGGTACTGAGACTAATACTGCATACAGCGATATGGATAAGTAAGAAAAGCCAGTAGGTGCATGCATCCCACTCAGTGTATCGATTAGGTTCATCCCGAGGTTTGCAACAACTACTTCTTGACCCAGGAACGGTGGTAATACTCGCGACGCCAAGTCAAATCATAGGTACTACCTTGAATTCAATCCCGTCACGGTCTACTTCAGGAAACACGGTATTCAGTCCAATCTGTAGACAGTTTCCATCAACCCAGTTCGACGTCTATACGCCTATGAATTTGACAAATATAATCTAGTCCAACGACTGTGATTTCACGTTGGACAATTCCCAGAAGTTTCTCACGGAGATAATGCCATGGAAACCAGCAGAAGAATTATATTTCACCTGATGCCCATGAGCTATAGTTCCCGTTTGGATGTGTCGCTTTCCAGTTGTCGGTTTGTAAACGACTGAATGATACAAACATGAGTTTCCTCCTCCATTATTGATACCGTGCGCAGAGATGATTCGTCTGTTTACCAAGCTGTAATATTTGCCCAGTCGTTTGTCAAGAGTTATTTTATGCTGAGACAATGTGGAGTTCCAATGCACCAGTGGGTCAATATGAAATGGTTGCTTTTTCTTCAAAAGTAACGTACTCTGATTTATAATAAAACGCTGCTATGTGTACAATACATTGCTGTAGATACAAACAACGATACCATGCATTGTGAATCAATCAACGTTACTGAGGGGAGATCCCATGGCGACCGGTACACATACACATAAATAAAAATACACACGAAACGCAGACACGCGCAGCTTGTGACTCACCACAGCCTTCCTCATCCGAACCGTCATCACAGTTCCTTTGCCTGTCACATCGGAGCCGAATGTCAATGCATTCTCCAGTTGCGCAACGGAATTCGTGCGGTCCACATCGTGTATCCACGGGAATATCTGATCAGAAGAGAAAAACCGAGTGAATCGGGACAGACGCCAAGTGTATTGTGTTGTTTTCTCTCTTGTTTATGAGAAAAATAGAAGTAAGGCGAACAATAAAATATTATAGGAAAATACAGTGATAAGGAAACGAACATATATTTTGATGCTTCATAAAAATTATCGTAGCTTGCTTATCTGGAAGGATGGGCGACGCAGTCTGTCAACACAGACTCACACATGGAAGGAGCACCGTATTGCAACTTACAGGCATTTGGTGGCATATTTTCTGGCGATGGGTGCGGAATTGGTGACTGAAGGTTTCAAGGGCTACTCAGACCGGGAAAGACTAAAAACACATTCGAAACACTTAAAAGCATTAAACCGGAGACCGGGTTGTTTCGGTAGTATTTGCACGCGAATACTCATTTTTTAACAATGCGATAAAGACCTTACTTTCAGAAACAGATGTGAACATCTATACCGTCAACTGAGTTAACCGTTGCTATCGATGTTTTTCCACGAACGCTTTGCGCTTTACTCTCCGGAAGGATTCCGTTAGTCAGAATGTTACTGTTTACTCACATTTAGGTGAAACGAAGCATATAACGGGACTTGTTCAAAAGGATTTTGCTAACTGACATGATATTTGCGGTGTTTTTCTCATGCATAATTGAATCGTAAACTGGAATCAAATCGGAGAAGCGGGCAGGGGAGATCAGGTACTATGTGCAGATTTGAGGGAGATACTCGGGATGCAGTTTGCGTGAGAGTAACTGAAATGAATGGACTAGAAAGAAACACTTTGAATCTGAGCTATCAATGAAGCTGTTCGTTTTAATGACCAATTACTTTAGGGAAGTTCAACCACAAACATCGAGTGTTAGCATGAATGGACGTACCGGGAAGTGATCGAAACCGTGAGCTATTCGCACAAAACGACTCTGTGCGGGAAATGAGTAATCCAATGTGACGCACTTATTATAATTAGTTTTTATTTTCATGTTCATTTTCGGGAGGTTGCCCGTAAAAGTCTATCACCAAACGTGGTGTCTGCTAGTTTCGAATCTTGGATTATAGTAAAGTCGGAGAAATGCTAGTGGTAACGATCCAAACCACTCAATCACCACCCCGAAAGGAGAATAAATGAAATGAAGACTATTATTATTATTATCATCATCATTATTACGACTTAAATTTCTAACCGCTCAATAACCTCTCTCAACGAATCCAAAAATCAGGTAAAGTCAATCAATCAGGGCGTGAGAGAAGTCACGTGACTGATGCCTTACCATAGCAATGTGGCGGTTGCTCGTCAGAGCCGTCCGAACAATCCGGTCTACCGTTGCAGAAATATGATTGCGGAATACACTGTCCGTTACGGCACATCCAATCGGCCGGGCCACATGGTGAGTCGATCACAATTTCCGTTTCAGAACTTTCTCCGGTCGGATAGACGCATCTGGTGTTGACAAAAGATTGATTGATAAACAGTGAATGATTACAGTTTAAAGGTTTGTACAATGTAACGAATGAAGCAAATTCAGGTTCTGATATCTGGCTTCATCTAACTTGCCACGGATCAGTTAACGCTGGGGATAAACCTGTTTATAACTTGAACCTAACCATACAATGAAGGTCGTATTGGCTAGTTTAAGTTAAACGGAGTCAAGTCCACTGCACAAGGGATCCGATAAATGAGAACCCAAGTGCAACGAAGTAAGATATTATTGTTTTCGAGCGATTTCATAAGATCATCAGTACATAATGCATGAAATAATTTCATCAACTTCTCAACGAATACGTCGGTAGTTAAATTGAGTTATCTCCAAATGATTTTAGATTTAATCATTATTTGAGTTAGTTGACTTGTCCTGCTCAAAAGTGAAACACATTTTCAATGCATTCTCAATCCGCTTGTCATGTATAGAAAACCATTTGCTGTGCGATAAGCATCTATTCCCGAAGGATCGACTGTAATGGACAGTACTAGAGAACATAGTGGGACTCACTGGATGACCATGTATCGATCGCGTTCAGTTATGTCCCGGAGGCGAGCAACAATAACATCGTTTCGGGGCCGAGTCACCTCGAACCGCGGCAACAATTCAACTGAAGTTCCGTTAGACAGTCGCATATCCGGCCGGATATGCGGCTGATTGGATCGACACTCGATTTCTAACGATCCATATGGTCGTACGATGGGACGCTCCGGTCGAATAGTTGGACGCACAACTTAAACAAAATGGGAATTACAAGAGAACTACAATTGGAAAAGAGCTGAACTGAACTTTCAGACAAACCCTGTGCCGGACTGAACTAAATAATCATTTGAAAAGTGAATTTTAAGCAATAAAAGAGAAAAGATCCGTATGAGGTTCAAACCACCACCACCACCACCACCATTACCACATACATGTTTTCCTAAATCAAAGTCATTCAGCACATTCGACGAACTTACCCTATTGAAAAAGAATTACAAATTCTAAGGTGGTGGTTGTGTAGACTGTTTACAGATCAGAAGGATTATTACAAACAGAACTCGAATTCCATTCCAGGAATTCAACGCACAGAACCGGATCAAACAGATAGAACTGGTGACGGACGAATTTTCCGTTACTAATTAGAGCAAGACATCGTCAGCATCACTGTCAGATATGAAACGCTTTCTTTTCGCAAAATCTCATTGAACGATCCAAAAAAACAGAAGACCAATAGAGTAAAATTACACAAAGCGAATGAATTGGTACCATGTGGATGAAATAGAATACAACAAATGATGGTGCCACTTCCGGACGGAAACGGAATTTCAAAACCTCAAAACATTCCTGAAACATGTCTTACAGTATGATACCTGGAATAGGTAAGTTGCTGCATTACAAACATAGGTTCCACACTTTATGGGAGTCACATGTATTTTTAACTATTTAAACCCCATACATCAATCCCTTGTGGCTCCATGAACTATAATATTGTATTGATCACTAGCAATCCAACGTATGCTGTGGGTGGAATCCATCGAAAAACGGTCTGGATAAACCCTTTACTCTTTAGAATGATCTGTTGCTATCGGATTGCAATACGATTCATAACAGGTCGGATTTGAAGTAACGCGGATCCAAGCATAGTTTGAGTTGATCAAGATGATTCATAACCGAAGGTGTCTTAGAAAGTGAATGACCGAAAGCTAGCTACAATTATTATAGCAATTTCTAAATTTTGTTTCGTTAAACTTTTTGATTCAGCGGTAATTTTCTTCCAGGATTTATTTAGCCAATTTACCCCACAGCCCTTCTTTCTGTTCGATGAGATGATCGGCGTAGACTTGAGCGCTTTTCAAACAGCTGATACTCCCCCAAGAGGAATCAACTATTATCTCCTAGTGATCTCACATTAGATATGTAGCAAAAATGCGCCTCAGTAGGCTACTATCGCAAAGGGAAATAGAATCACCACTCGTCAGGTTCCATTGGAAATATTTTTTCAAGACTTTACTACGTTGTGCCGTAGTTTTCCCCACTGTTCATGAATGTTATTTCTTTGAGAATTGGTGAATGTGTTTTGGGGTTAGGTGATTCAGTTGATGCTGGAGAGCTAGGAGTTACATGCTGAGTTCAGCTTGATGGATAGAGAAAACAGACAATCTTGTTACAGTTCTAAGCCACCCGATAATTGAGCTACTCACACCTGGGCAGTAGCTTACATGGAAAAATTCGCCCCCATTATGATGACTATGCCATCGATCTAACCTCGTTAAGAATAACTTTATTCGAATAATCTTCAATATATCCAATATGGTGATATCCATTCAGTATCACACCTCCGTAGGTCTCACCCATAAAGGCATATGAACTATGAAGAGCAGTGGATAATTGGGTATAAGTATGCGACAGCTTCAGATAAACAGCGTTTCTTTCACTTTTTCCATTAGGTTACTCATAAGTAGCATGTTTCAAGTATGGACAGTCATGGAAATGCCACCAAAGATTTAATATACCAAAATTGCAACTATACCACAGTCCATTATGCGATTTTGAATTACTCGTGTTAAGCTAAGGATTGATGCTTCCTTTGAATTCAAAAGTTGGATCAAAGGTCTTTTTAAATCATGCCGAGTTCCATCTACCCCACCGGATTTTCCAGAAAGGATGAGAAAACTTCAAAATACACCATCATTTGGTCTGGATAGTCCTGTGTTACTTGACAGGATGCACTTCAATGCTCGATGATTAGAGATGCGATAGATAACACAAAAGTAGGCGAGTTCCCAATAACCATCTTCCTGTTTGTGACTGGATAACATACAATTAGTGAAGCTACTCCAAACAGTGCTGGCGGGACTCCTTTATGTCCGGTTCTCGGAAATCTGTCTACAGATAATATTCATGTAACCGACTGGTTCTTGAGCAGGTGTTAGTAGGGTGAAACAGTTGGTATTCCTGATGTAAATTTTTGACAACTATGCTCAGTTACGCTTCAGAGAGTTATTCCTAAATAAACCAACCTCAAAGAATTTTCCTGGTTGCTCTGTGATAGTCAGTAGATATGGATATACATCTTAGCACGCAAAAATCCAAACCAGAGGTAATTTCCCTGAATGGGAAGTAAGTAGCACCCGAAAGCATTGGACTAAATTTTCCAGAAGCACCCAGCCGATTTCACGGTTCTCGTGGCTCATCAGGCACGTAGATCCTGTACTCGTTTATTATGTATTCCTCTATTCCTCGCAATACCCACAGAAAAGGCCAAACAAATCGCAATTTGAGTTAGCTGACAATCATAAGTTAAAAATGCCTCGGATGAATTTGTTCTGCCTCGGTCGATCACTACTCAATATTTTACTATGCATTATAAAAATTTTGATAACAAATCTGTGTATGTGTGCATGTGTGTAAGTATACAACACAACGCAATAACTTGAATGATATCTCCAATACTTTGCATATGTTTATAGCATGGATCAATTGCGATGAACATAACAGAGGATAAGTATCAAATCCTATCAAGGTTCCACTGAAGTCAAAAGTCTTATTTATTTTGCTAGGAGGTTGTGAAACCTTAAATTTGCCAATAGAAGACATCCATCAGCTGGAGGATTCGGCAATCAATGTTTAGGTAGCCTGGCTCAGGTGGGATGGATTGAGTGGGTTAGTGACCTAGATGTAAGCCATCGAGATGTGTGGAGGTATCAGTGTGAAACTCTCTCTATCTCGTCGAATTCAACTCAATAGGCTTCGTTGTCTGGACCATGTGATACGGATGAATAGCACTCGTCAAACATTCAATTTTGCCGCTCCGGATTGAAAAAAGTCGTATGTAGATCAAGGGATCACGTGAAGATGATGCAAGAAGAAGGGATCATAGTGACTATTTAGAGCAGATATCTTCCGCCTTTTAAGCTGGGGCTCAGAAGACTCCATAACAGATTTGCAGGAGGCACTAAAGGACGTGGCAGCGAACGGAAAGAAGTATGCATTATTAAGCAGTGTAATCAATGTGCTGAATGGAATAGTTACCCTAACCATCCACTTTACGCATTCATACCTTCTTTGTGCACATTGTGAGTCTGCAGATAACAGTTGCGTTTGCTTTATTATGTTTTGCTGTCCTTTGCATGATTGTAAAAGAAGAGAGATACCGTGGTTTTATCTTTTCATTGGTCAGTTCGGTTTAGTCCTTAGGAGATGTACTCACTTCCCTGTTCGTGGAACCACCTAAAACCTGAGGACGCTTAGCAAAGTGAAAATAAAAAACAGTATATGGTGGTCAGGTTGTTGCACTAGTTGTTCTGACAAAAGAAGATTAAGTGAAAACGGATCTTACCACATCCCTCCTCGTCAGATCCGTCATAGCAATCTTGATGCTGATCGCATTTCCGTCTCGCGTCAATGCATTCACCGGATCGGCACTGAAACTCGTACGATTGACATTGTGGTCTCGT